AGGTATCTGATTAACTTCCATATTGTAAGAATAGATGGCAAAAAGTCTTGGGGAGAGCTTGAAATTGATTTTGAATACTATACACCATTATTTATTCTAGCCTATCTTTTATCATATTTTCCACATCCCATTTCTGAATACTTAGAACATGTTCTATTAATGTTTTATATCAATGCTGAATGTTGACTGAAAAACAAGCAAAGCTTGTATAAATCTATACTCTGCCCTTGTAAACAAATGGTATTTCTAAAATTGTGCTCTAAAACCAGGAACCAGCCTTTTCAAAACAAAGTTCGAATACCAAGTGGGTGATCAGATAGAGCACACAAAAACATGTGGTTTCATTGCTTTTTCCTAGTAAGACCTGAAAAATTCAACTATTTCTTTCTCCTTTAGCTGAAATATATTTGCCTTCAGCTCCTTTGTGCAATGTTTTAAGCTTTAGGGAAAAATGGTAGTTTTATTATTTCCTTGTATGAATGTTATTATGTGATGATACCAAGAGATAGGTTCCACTTAAATTACATTATTTACAAAAAGTTTTCTCTATATTCTAAAATAAGCTGTGAGCTTCAATAAAACCATTAAATCTGTAATGATTTAATTTAATAGACATTGTAAGTCTATTAGTATAACTTTATCAGATAAAATTACATTCTTTATTAAGCTCAAAAATAATAAACAGAATTATCAAAATCATATTATTGTTTCATAGTCTTCATTTTAATAGAATTGAGCACATAAGAAATTATGAAAAGTATTCTTCCTCAAATATCCCTGGATTTGTTCCTTGTTTAACTTTAGTGTTGGATTTCATAACAAAGAAATGTGTGCATTTTTCAAAAAAGGTTTGGTATCCCAAGCTCAATTGTGGGAGTTCTTCATGCACATGTACACCTCCTGTCATATACTGGCCAAACCGAAAGGAATTAATTATTTCCTTCTCTAACTGGAGCCATGCTTTGTCCAGATCTAATGTTCATGCCATGCACAAATGGGAGCTTTTCTCTCATATTCTTTGCTATCTTTCTTAGATAGTATAAATGAAGAACCCAAGAGAGTGTATTCTTGAGACAGTGAATGTATGCTTTATTTCAATTGGTTTATTCCTCGGAAGTCTCTTGGAAATTAAAATGCTGATTACTCTTTAATCCTCAACTTAAAATATTTACTAGAAATTTATTCTGTGTTGTCACAAATTGTGTCCTTTTTATTGTTGTGGTAATTAGTGTCCTCAAAGTAAAGGAATGCTCAGAGTTTAAAGTGTCCTTGTCCCTGCGAACTGATAGCTAAGATTTGTGTTAGAACAGTTGTGCTGGCTTCACATAACAGTAGTGGGATTTTTACCTTCAAATTCCTACTCTAGCTTTATGAGCTTTGAGTTGAAAGGAAGTGTTAAATTAATCTTTGAGAATTTAAAATCCCTTTCATGGATTTGTTATATCCTAAATAAAAATGTGCTACCATTCTTTAAAAGCAAACAAGGAACAGTCAAAGCAAAAACTCACCAGGTTCTTGTGAATCTAAGTTACAATAAAATGGCCGACAACTGAGTAGTCTGGTTCGCCTTGTTTATTTGCAGCAGCATCTGATGTGAGTCGAATTTACACAATTAAGAAGTTACTCTGGAACAGAAAATATTAAGGGCCCTTTCCGCAACTTATGACAATGCCCTCTGAGATTGCCAGCAAACTCTTAAAACTCCTAGACACCAGCTCTTTTCTCTTCTGGCTTCCCTCCTAGTCATGTCTTGGCCCCTATCCAGAGCTGACAACTTTCACCCAGGAGCAAAGGGAGATTTGTCTAGAAGAAGAAGGATTTTTGAGTCATCCTAGATTTTCCTATCCAGATGGGCAAGGAGGAGGGGTGGCAATATTGTTGTACATACTTGGGTGATGTCACTGTGGCACATGTGCACTATAACCATTAATTTAGTCATAATGGCTAAGTTCTGATATCCTTGTTCAAATATTCCTCCCTTGAAACTTTAATTTGGCAATTTCAAAATTAAAGTAGAAATATTGTGCAAATGTGTTCTTAGGTCTTGATAGTAGATTCTGTCACTTCTTCAATGCAACTGAAAACCAGAAAGTTTCACATCTTTGCTAATAAATAAAAGTGCTTAGAGTCGGGGAGGAAAGGAATGGAGAAGTTCATTGTCAAAATCCCTACTCCTGGCACTATGCTAAAGATTTCAGAGCACCACTGGCTATATGATAATTTTTACATACAGTGTATTCCTAGCAAACTGAATTGTGATTATTATGCTTTCAAGGGTTTTCTAAATGCATCAATTTTTGTTCTTTTATGTAAATTCACCTATCTTTATCTATAAAAGACCATTTAGTATTAATACAGAGACTTGAAGGCCCTTGTAATAAGCACGGCTCTAAGGTAATACCACATTGGTGGACCATTACTCTAAATGAATCTTGAACATACACAAGCAATCACATCTTTTTTAATCTTTAAAAACAATCATTTCCATGCTCAAGTATCTTTTTATGTTCCTACAAAGAGCTAGAGACTCATTGTGTTTATTATAAAAAAAAAGGTTATCTTAGTCAGAAAACAGATGTTACTCTTTTATAATTTTCCATCCTTATTCTATAGATGATTTCATATATTTGTATAATTTTTACACTTAGGCTGGTTAGCTACATTGCACCAACTTTTGCAAAATAGCTGTGCAGAAGGCAGTAAGATCACTGCTCAATGTAACCTCTCTTATGGTAACAATATCATTAAATGTTTATTCTTAGCATAAAGCTTCATGAAAGTTTTTTAGATTATAATTAATAACAGTGATACAAATGTAGAACTTAGAAATACAATAAGTAAGATACATGAATGAGTGAATATATCTCTGAGAAATTTTGAAATCAGGCTGTACATGCTGTTTTATATTTAGAATTCATTAGTTTTCTTGAGTGAATATAATTAATCACCTGTTTTATAAGCTGTTTTTAAAAAGACCTAAAAGATTGATAAATATTACAGCCTTTTAGTGGTTTATTAGTTAACTTTAGGGTTAAATGAAAGAAGGAAATAGCAATGTCCAGTTAGTCATTTAAATACACAGCGCTTCTTTACTGTTAGAGTGGAAATCAGTCCATCTTTACACCTTACAGTTCTACTAATCATATAATTGAGAAGCCCCGAGTTGATATGCCTGAAATCTTGAGTAGGTGAATTCTAATAAACTTAGAATTTAAATACAAAGACTCTGCTTTTTATTTATAGATAAAAGTAAATCTGACCTTTTGATAAAGAAATACTGTCAGTTGCCTTGATAAGCTCTTGCTCATCTGAAGGTCCGTGATATGAGTACTCTTCTCAGTAGAATTTATACTAAAAATGAAATGATAGGCGCCTGCTGGTTAGTATCCAAGATTCTTCTTGATGGGGGAACCACATGGTTTTTCTTCATCTCCCACTTGTTCTCACCCTTTCCTACCAACGCAGCCACACCCCACCCCCATCCCAACATTGTTCAGTACTCAGCACAATGAATCATTTTCAAGTTGACTCATTGTGAACTGTCTCCCAGCTGTTGGAATGTCTGGCAGACATTTTTGTTTGGGTGAAGAATAACTGGCTGAAACCCAACCTGGATGAGTTTGATATAATAGTCTTTGGCTAAAGAAATATTGAGAGATGTTTCTGGCCTCTGAAGCCCCTGTTATTCCTGGAGTAGTACCATTCCCTGTGGCACAGCACTGAAAGTAAGGAATCAATCTGGATTATTTTCTCACCATTGAGTGAAGAATTGCCATAAGAAAAATAGCCATTTGCAGATTTTGTATGTATTCTATACTTAGTGTGCCCATATAATTGAAAGGTTTTTAAAGATAAAGAAAACTTTTTTACACTCCTTTTAAGACCAAAGACTAGAGGCTGAAATGTCCTCCACACAATATGCATTTCTCCTATGGAGGAGCTTTAAATACTGCCTGAGGTGTGAACTAACCAACTATTTCAGCAGAATGTTTGGAAACCCAAACTACTGTGCATTTCCCTTTGAATCATATAGTATCAGCTTACCCTCTTTTATGGTCTACTCTCATCAGTCTTTACAGAGGCACTTAAGACACAGAAGAACAGCACTAAACCCAGTAATAGTCATGAAGCTTTTGCAAAATGAAAATCTTTGTGGTCTCTCCTTTAACAGAAGACATAGCTCTGAACAGGCCAGTTTTCTTGACTGCCTTACATCTCATATTCTTTTCTTCTAAATAGTTTTTAAAGTAATGGATATTACCAGTATGTAAAATGAGAGTCTCAGAATTCCAAAACTGCACAAATAATGATTGATTTCAACAAATCTGTATCTGTAGAGCAAAAATGTCCTGATGTATTGTTTTACAGGATTATGGTTTTCTGGCTGTCACCCTGTCAGAAGCTACAAAAAATACCGAATTTCCATTAAGTAAAATAATTGCAATGATTTCGCTTTCCTAGCCATGAATTGGGGGGGGGGAGGACTTTTGAGTCATTACTGTCTAGGAATTGGGTTTTCTGTGCTTAGAACCATGTTAATGTATTCTAATCTAGCACCAGTACATTTCCCAAGCTGTTCTGCTTAGCACTGTGGGGTTCATCTCAAGCTGGGTTCAGGAAGAAGGTGTTGGCCATTGGTCAGTGCTGGTCATCATTTCTTTGCCTTTGTTTGTGCTCTAGAGCCAATGGCAGCATCTGGAAAGGGACACAGAAGACTCCAGAACTAGCCATGCTGCAGCACTTTAGCCAGACTTCTCTCTGTTTCCAATATGTCTAATACGTTTCACCTTGCCTTCAACTCTTTAACATAGAATACCTATATAGATCAGGCCATTCAACTAGGAGACTATTCCATCTGTTTTTCATACTCTAGTAGCTTTAACTTTTATTTATGAATATTTCTTATCTACACTACAATTTGTATTCAAAATGGCATAGTGGTTCTGTATAGATGTTTATTTTGTAATTAATTATGAGTATTCCATTTCTGTGTTTTTCAGAATAGAGCAATTACTACTCGTGTGAGAAATTTGTCAGATACAGTAGTTGGTCTGGAATCTTTTATTGGTTCAGAGAGCGAAACCAACCCATTATATAAGGATTATCATGGTAAGTATCATCTTTCTCATGAACAGAACATGTCCTGAGTGCTTCTTCCGTACCTGAGGGCACACTCCTGGTCTAGTCAGAACATCTGCTGTAACGTAGTGGGAATTTTATTGCACCCCACATTTGTTAAATATTTTCCCTTCCTGCTTACTAATTACATTTCAGCCATTTATTTGTCAAACTAAGATTGCAGATTATAATTGAAAGTAGTCAAACCCAGGGTCTGAAGTATTGTTGTGCCAGTGGCATAGCATTTCTATGAAATCAGTCATATATATTAACCATATTTGAAATAAGTATATTATAAATATCCCTAATTTTAAAAACTAAAATATGAAGTGCTTCTGGTCCTAAGCACTTTGAATAATGAATGGTCAACCTGTAACAGCTTAGCAGCGTTTCTATTATATGTATAAAAGTTTATACTTTACAAAGCTAGCTGTGTCGTAAGGTGCATCCTGGACTAAGATGTAGCTCAGTGGTAGAACATTTGCCTGATATGCACAAGGCCATGGGTTCAATCCCCACACTAGCACCTTAAAGGGGGGAGGGGTTACATACTACTTTGTCACCCTGACATAAACCCAGAAGAATTGACTTAACATTTTACTACATTACAGTTTTGTTTTGTTTGTTTTTGATACTAGAGATTAAACCTCTAATCTTGCGCATTCTAAGTATAGATTCTACCATTCAAGACTATTCTCAATCCTCTTTTTTAAAACTTTAAAAATACTTTGGTCATTTGGCTAATTGAAAATTTTTTAAGAAAACTTTTTTTTTCTCATAAGGATTTGACTAATAGAAGGTTAGTATTTATGTGCATCTTCAGTCTAAACTCAATACAAAGTGTTATAAATAACACCTTTACCAATTATGTATTCTAAATAAATGTAATTATTGATATTATTTTGGAACCTGTACTTTGAACTATTAGACTAAAGATTTACCAACTTGCTTTAAGTTTGCTACCTTTGTGACAAGGCAGTTAGTTTGCTAACACATAAGATTCTGTAACAAGGTCACAAAGGTAGCTAGTTTGCTAACACATAAGATTCTGTAACAAGGGCATTACCGATGATAACGTGCTTTGTGTAATCGATAGTGCTTTGAGAAGTCAGCCTTTAGAGCAACGATGAAACAGCATAAGCTAACCAGTCTTCTTTTTAATGCTGCACAACTGTAAGTGTGAACCACAGCTACAGTAAAACAGTGGGTCTCTTGCTTGCTTACCTATCTAAATGTACAGAGCAGATATGTCCAGGTTAACCTATATCAGATTGATTTGATACATCATTTCTCACTATGATGAGAAGAGGTCTAAACTAATTTGGCTGTTGTTGTGTATCACTATTATATTTTCTTTTTAAAAAACCAATTTAGATGCTAACCTTAGTAAGTTATATTACCATTTATAACCATTCATTTATAAACTTACTGATAGTCTACATATATTTTGGTTAAAACATTTCAAAGGTTGAACTGTCATTCTTTGTGCTAAAATCTCTGAATTAGTAAATTATTTTCCATGTATAAGAGTAATTCTGATTATTTGTAAGTTTTCTATTAATAAGAAGAACCTTATAATAAAATAATTAATGAATTATATAAGGCCTCCTAACTTAATAATTACCTAACAAGCACATATACTATAAGGGTGAAATGAGAAATGTGCTGTCCTTATCTCTGTTAAGTGTATTTTACTAAATAAGTATGTATGAGATATTTTAGTTGTTAAGAGCTTAATGAGTTGTTAACAGTCTTAATGAGAAGTAGGAGGTAAATATGATCAAAATACATTCTATGAAATTCTCAAATAATTTATTATAATATTGTATTTAAAATATAAGCATTCTTATTTTAATGAATTATTTTGAAGAAGTTGTTTGTGACAGTGAAGTTACTTGAAGGCTTACACTTTAAATATAAACTCATGCATACGTTAGTGACCATCCATGTACACACACATAAGCAAGCAGTTCTGTAAATAAGGTTTGTCTGCTCCAATCTGAAATTTGCTATCTCATATTCCATGTTCAGGGATCAGTATCCCTGAGATGGTATTTTTAAATATGAGCTGAGTCAGGCAAAAAGATGCGCTGGAGAACCTGCCATGTCTTCATCTGTGGGAACTGACCCCTAGTTTAGTCAGAAACTGCACAAAAGCCTTCCAGTGCCTTGTCAGGAAAGATTAGCAAATGTTTCTGCTGACGAGGCCCCGAGCTCACGGTTTACCTAGTGTTGCTACAGAGCTTCTAATGACCCCATAAGGGCCTAACGTGCCATAAAAATCAGTGTTTCCGGATGGCATACAGGCTAATGTTTGATTTTAGACTGTGCTGAAATATAGTTTTCTTCAATGGTTCGTTCAGTGTACAAAATGAAATACTTATTATTGGTGTTTTGCAGGTTATCAGTAACCCAAGAGCCTTGTTTTGCTGGCTGCTTACTGGTGCATTTAATAAAATAAAGATCGCTCAGTGGTGCTGTGGGCAGCATGCAAGGTGATAGCCATATTTGCTTACTGTAAATATGAAAGAAAATCACACGCAGACCGGCTGTAGTTTTGACAAGTATTAAGATCCCTCTTTACATCTGTACTCCTGAACCAAAGTGCAATTAGTTTTCCTCGCTCAAGGATTTCTGTTTATCTTATTCTGCTTGATTACTTGAGTATAATCACACCATTTGCTTCACTGCCCCTGGTAGTCAGCTCCAGTTTTAAAGGGAGGATGCTTGTGTGTAAATTTACAGATTCTGCTGTAAGACTCTTTAATTTAGGCCTCTGATGACAGCACTTAAGGCTTTTTCTTTTAACTTCCTTTCCATGAGGTTTGATCCATATACGGAAGATTCCTCGGCTTAATAATTTGACTTGTGATGAATCGGATGTCAAAGACTTAGCTTTTAAGTTAAAAAGGAAGCTGTTCACCATTGAGGTAAGAGAATTTTTATGTTTTAGTTTACTGTCTTAAGGGAAATGGTCCCCCTCACCCCTGCTTTTCACTCCAATAAAACGTCTCAGACACATTTCAGGCTACAAATTAAGTGCTTTTGTTATAGCAGACTGATTTTTGTTATGTTTTCCTCCACTCTAATCATGTTATTATTCAAGTACAGCAAAAAAAATGTTTTAACAGCTATTAAAAATAAGCTCCAAACTCAAATGATAAATACGACATGTATCTCCAAGGCTTTTAAAAGCATTTAATTAAATGTTAATGAGCTGTGCTTACTGTGTGTGGACTATGAATGCTGCCCACAACTGTGTTTGGATAAGAAGAGAAGTTTCATCCCTACATCCTAAAGGTTTTTCCGTTGTTTGTTTTGTTTTTAGTATTAGGGAGATTACAATTCAATTTTAAACTGTTGAATTAAAGTGTGAGTTACACTAGTGGCTGTAAGTAAATTTTCTACATGTAGATTTTGTGACCTTTCTGCAAGCAGGATGACAGGAAGCGATACAAAAGAGTTATTTCAGCTTAATCTTGCTAAAGAGCAAATGAACGTGGAACTATTAAGCAATTAGGCTTGATATATTTATTAACGAAGTAAATGTTCAGAGAAATGGCATTTGGGTGGTTGATAGTTATCAGTATAGTTGGTGCAATTTTTTTTAACAAAGACATAAAACAGCCAAACTGCCTTGACAAACCATTTTGTTTAATCTCTTTTCAAATGAAAAGCTCTTAAGCAGGCCACTTGTCTTAACTGCTTGAAACCATAAAAAGAGAGAATTACCACCAATAAATTAGCATATTTTTAACTTCAACACCAAATGATGGTCAATGTGGCTTGGCACTGCTTTGGTGTTTGGGACTTCACCCTTAAAGTGACCACTTTGGCCCTTCTTTGACCCTCTGCCCTCTTTAAGCTGGCCACTTGATAAGGTAACTTAATGGCTCTCTCTCTCTTTCTCTGTCCCTTCACATTTACAAGTAGCACTAACCTATAAATCATCATAAGGGTCCTATCCTGTGACAAATTAATGTGCCCTCCTCCTAATTAATGGTCATCAATGTCCTTAATTATCTAATCCTATTGAGAGCAGTTAATAGTTAATCAGGCAGCCGGTTCTTCAGGCAGGTCATCTCTGCAGGAGTGTTAGGAGTTCCTCATCTGGGGAGAACTCTGTTCAAAAGCCACTTCAAGCCCAAAAAGGGTGTGGAGGAACAGTGAGTCTTGAGCTAATTTGCCTTACTTCTCAAAGAAAACCATTGAAATGGAACCCAAGACTGTAACTGGGCCAACATTGTCTCAGCTTTTCTGATGGAATACTGAGTGACTTACTATCTTAAACATTTAGAGAACTGGGTTATAGCTTATTGTCTGACAAAAGTATGCTTGCTTTTTTAAGTTGAATTTATGTTTCAAATGAAAGATATAAATTTTTTCTCTCCATGTGCTATTCTTCCCAATAATTTTTAAAGCATGTCTGAGATATCGTTTCTATTATGTACAAATCAAGCAAGGAGAATTCCTCAGTGGGAAAGGTATTGTGCCCAAAGTAGGATAATCATGTGAATCTGTTTATGATCGTGCTCACAGTGTCTTATGGGGAGCATAAAAGGGGACGTACACGACCTGCTTAATGTTAAGTGAGACTACTCCCCTTGAATAGCTATAGGTTCTAAATGAGAGCATTGATTAGCCACACAGACTTCTTGCTTCGACACAAAACTAAAAGAATCAAAATTGCCATCTTGTGGTTTGGAAGCACTATTTGAAAACAAAATAAAAATAAACAATCACCCTTTAAAGAAGTTAATATTCAGTACAGTCAATCAAATCCTTGTCACTTTGGTTTGATCTACTCAGTAAAGATTTGGGAGTATTTAAAATAAAATTCAGGTAAAAGCAATTTTGAATAACCAACCTAATAGAAATACATAAATCTTGTTAATTTGTTCTTTTGGTTTTTCAAGACAGAGTTTCTCTATCTATCAGCCCTGGCTGTCCTAGAACTCACTCTGTAGACCAGGCAGCTTCAAACTCACAGAGGTCTGCCTGCCTCTGCCTCCCATGTGCTAGGATTAAAGGAGTGTGCTGCCACACTGGGTCATAAATCTTTTTAATGTTCTGACATTTTTTAAAAATAAAATGCAAGCTCTACTCCTTGAAAAGTCTGAGGTGGGAATGCTCTGGGGCTTGAACTGGGGTGTTATTCCCAGAAGAAAAACCTAGCTTGGTGGGTAAAGCACAAGGAACTTGTGATCCTATGCAGACAGACTTACTACAATTTGGGATGGACCTGAAGTCCCATGAGTCACTAATGAGGGGTGGATGGAGACAAGAAGCAAAGGCAGTGTGGGACAGAGCAGGTGCTACTAAAGCCTAGTTAGCCATTGGTCTTTGTGCTTGACAGGAGGAGCAACACAGTACTTTCCAACTGTAAGTGACTCAGAGACAGAATGGTATTTTCTCCTCCTTGGAGTACGTATTGATTGGTTTGATTCGGAAGAAAGCACTTACCACAATAGATTTGTATAATTCTCTGTAACTATAAAGCTGCTTAAGTTAGACCTTAAGAAAAGCACAGCAGAGTCCTGTCTCCAGTGCTGCCACTGAAGCCCTGAGTGACGACACTGCTGCTAAAGTAGCTGTCTGCGGTGTCCTCAGCAGGTGGGTGGATGTGCCGGGATGTATCCTATAGAAAGGGGTTACGAATGGAGTCGTTAAATGGCCTAAGTGATACAGCTGTACGTGCCACGTAAGGTCCACTCTAGGATTTGTAACTCTGTAGTAGCCTCACCACTGAGCTGAACTGACTGCCTAAACTTATGATCTTTTAAGTGTGGCAATTTGTCTTCTTTGATAATGTTGGTATTATCATAACTAACTTTTCTTTATAATTAGGATGCTCTTATAATGCATACTCAAGTAAATCTGATAGGATTTGAGGTGTGGCTGCATGGAATTTGGTGATATCATAGGAACAGCATTTTACTTGAATGTAATACCATTTTGATTTTGTATTTTCAGCTTTCACATTCTACTAATTGAATTTCCTAACAAGTGATAATATATCATTACATTAGTTGCAGCATCTATAAAATTATTACAAAAAGTTTCCTCCTTATGGGACAGTTTCAGCTCTAAGCATCAAAGTTTCTAGATTCAAGTTGGGAAGTGTGACAATTGATTTGTGCTGAAATTCACAGAAGGTACATCCTGTAACTACAAATGTTCGGTAAAAAGAGAAAGGACAATTATGAGGGGTTGAACTGGTCCAAAGGTCACAACATAATTAGTGTATCTGAGTCTTATAGACTAAGTATTGAGAGCAGACTCTGTCAAAACAAACCAAAATTATTCAAGATTATCTTGTGATACTTGGAAGCCAGTTCAGAATATGAGCCCTCAATAACTCTCACAAAATAATTGGCCAGCCACTTATTATAAACTAGCTATTCTTAGTGTACTTAGTAAATAGATTCATTCTTACCTATTAATACCAAAAATTGCATGTGCTATTGGTATAAATTAGCCTAATAATAATATTATAATAGAGCTTGATGTAACTTCATAGAAATATCTGAAATGTTTACATTTTGCAAACTATAAAGTCTCACACACTACTAATCACTGTGATAGCATTAACAGTTCAGAATATTGCATGGAATCATCAGCTCTAGATTTACTTCTCCACATTTATTTTCTATGGTCTTTTCAGTTTTTTAATGAGAAATATGAGGGTGAAATATGTTTAATATACCAAAAGATGAAGAGAGAGAAGGGAAACCTGCCTATCAGTTCACAATGATGTTACAGAAATAATCACTTCATAAATATCCAATTTGGAAACCTTATTAAATTATAGTGTCATGGGCCATATAGTCTAATGTAAGTTTTCTGATAATACTGTCCTTGATAAATATTCATTACTGTTTAAGTTAGCTTGTATTCACAGGTATACTGCCAATACCAAAACTAAACTATTAACTATAGGTGTCTATTCATCTGAATGTAGTCACTGTCAAAAGTTAACCCAAGGGAAGGGAGTGGCACAGTAGATAAGATGCCTGCTGCATAAGCTTGAGGACCTAAATATCGCCAGTCACATGTAAAAGCCAGATGTGGCCATGCATGCAGCCCCAACACTGGGAGGGCAGAGACAGACCGATCCAGCCCTGAGGCTCACAGGCCAGCCAGTCTTGCCAAAAGTGAGAGCTTCAGGTTCATTGAGAGACCTTGTCTCAAAACATAAGGAGGTGAAGGAATAGAGGAAGATGCCTACTGTTACCACCTGGCCTCCATGTTCTCATGCAAGGTGAATATACCTACAAGTGCATTGTATGCCTGCTCACATGCGGAAGTTCATTCATTCTCTCTCTCTCTCTCTCTCTCTCTCTCTCTCTCTCTCTCTCTCTCTCTCTCTCTCTCGTGCACACACGCGCGCGCGCGCACACACACACACACACACATACACATATGCATACACACAAACACACAACAAAAATTGACAGTAGAATGTAATTTTTTTATGTTCACATTTTAAATGTACTATACAGATATTTTCACTTTAATTCTTTAGTCATATAGGCATAGAAGAGTGTCACAGAATCTCTAGAAATGGTTTAATTCTTACTATATATATATTTTTTACATTGCCATAATGAACCTATCAAAAGTGCATACCACCTTCAGGGGAACAGTTGTGAGACTCTGTCTAATCCTATTTCTTCCAACTTTGGAATCTTAATTAGAAGAGATGGGGGGGACATCATTTAACTAAATTATTGTCGTGAATCTGTAGCAAAAGGTCTAATCCTCAATTGGGCCAATTAGTGAAGCCCATAGTTAGCTAGGCTGCAGCGAACAGTCTGATTAGACCTGACACCGGCCTAGTTCCCACTGTGGTTGTGCCAGGTATGATGGTCAGACTTCAAAGAGCCAGAGGCATCAGCAGGGCAAGGTTTGGAGGCCAGCTTAGGTCCGG